AACTATTTATCTGTATGAATTATGTGTGTTATTAACATGATAGTGGTTTGGGTCCAGCCCACCATGAGCGAAGTGGGAGATGTTGGATGTTGGGTCTAAGTTATGGGTCGCTCGATATGGGTAGACCCGACCCATTTTTTATGTTGAAGGGGTCAGATGAAATAACTTCTCAAAAAAAGTTACTACACGTAAATGTAGTGAGGCAGTTTTTGTTGATAACTGCTATTTGAGTGCTCTTAAATATAGAGGTTTTGATCTTTGGCAAAGTGAGAGAAACGTAAGAAAGGAAAAAAAAACAGAGAACTAAGTTCTCTTCTCTTCTTCCACATTAACACATAAAAAGATATTTAGTTTGTGGAAATTTTGCTTTATTTTTAAGAGATTCAAAGTGAACTTTGGAGCAATTTTCTGGGTTGTAACTTCTACTTTGCTGCATTAACAGGTACACAAATCTTGTACTGATCTTGAAATAATTCATGTCCTTGTTAATTATATTTTTTTTGCGATAATCTAAACACATAAGATAGCGCGTAAATCATAAAACGAAAACTTACTTGTTCGTATAGCAGAAGCGGAAGGAACGAAGGAACCGCGACTAGAATTACTGATCGATGATGGTTGTCACAGTATATTGAATCAACCCCCTAAGCCACAGTCTAAAACCAAGGTTGGATATATATATANATTGTACACAGTAAGTGTACTTATATAGAAAATATTAGCTTTAACTAATAACCCTATTGAGCCTTAAAGCACCACTTATGGGTGGACCCAAAATTTCCTACATCTTCCGCTCATACATAATGGGAGTGCTCATCTAATCTGAGAAACATATTCTCATCTCCTCAATCATTCATACAGGGAAGTAGATCGTGCAACCAGCATACTGTGAGAGCTAAGTGTTATACATCTGTTAGGAGTATATAGCCTCTCGTTGAGTCAAACTTGTAAGTAGATCATAAAGCATGCAGTACCCTAGATCATATGAATCACATTTTATATAATCTCAAAATCTCATATATCATTATTTCTTGTATTCACAATCATAACTCATAAGTTATAACTGGTGCACCAGGGAGCACAAATAAATGAAATTCCATCAATGATCTTCTTGTTCTCATGATCCCTTTAATATTTGTTTGACTGATTTTCTAGATATGCTCCGCTAGACCGAATCTATGTTCATGGTCCTTTGGAAACACACTAAGATAGCTAACATCACACTAAGTCTTAAGTATCTGATCGGAGTCTCTGAGAGTACAAAATCTTGAGCCACCATAAAAACTTTGGGTCTCACACAATAATAAGTTGAGAATGGACTTATGTTAACCATATTGGTCGATATTAGCACACATGGTATGAAACATGTGCTACATCATTTTCTCTTTTTTCCCAAGGAGAGTATGTCTTTATCTCATAAAAAATGTTGTACAAATGATATTTAGACACCATAAGTATCTAAATTTGAGTTTCTTGATCTACAATATCATTTTTTACTCATATCTGGCTCACAAAGTAGACTAGGTGAACGTTTTTCACCCTACTGACCTTTTGTCATTGTTTAAGCGATATTCTGATTTTAAGTGAATAGCTCTCAAATTATCCTTATGATAATTTTACTTAACATCATGTCTCATCTCCTCACATCACTAAGATAAGGAGGCAGTTTCCTGTGTGAAAAGGCCAACCTCTTGTCTACCTGACATACTTATAGAAAAATGAACAAAGAATGTACATAACATTCAATAATAAAAATATGTATGTATGTAATAAAAATATGTATGTATGTAAATCAACTTTATTGATAATCAAAGAACATCAATTTTGTGAACACGGGAAAATGAATAACAAAATGAAGAATATCAATGTCTATGCAAGCCTTGAGACCTAGTGTGTCTCACAAATGCATCTCTAGACAAAGGCTTGGTCAATGGATCTGTTAATATATCTTTTGTAGACACATACTTCACATTCACTATCTTGATGAGAAACTAATTCATCATCTGCTAAAATTCTCCCACTCGAATGAAGCGATCCTTGTACTTCTTGATTTATTATCTCAAATAAGGTTAGGTCTTGGCCTACCTCTCCCTTCTTAGGAAACTCACCCTCTAAGAATGTGACATCTCGTGATTCAAACTCAGTTACACTCTCACTATCTTGCTAACCTATAAGCACATAATCCTTTGAGGTTTCAGAGTATCTTATAAAGATACTTTTCTTTCTCTTCGGGCCCAATTTGTCATAATTGTGATAGGAATCATGTGTATAGGCAGAAGTGCAGCACAACCCCAAGGTCTTAATACACTCAGGTCGGGTTGTCTTCTAGTCCATAACTCATATGGAGTAGTAGTAACTGATTTTTTAGACACTTGGTTAAGTACATAGGTGGCAGTAAGAAATGCATCACCCCAGTAACTAATTGGGAGGTTAGCTTGCACCATCATTGACCTAACCATTTCTAGGAGCGTTCTGTTTCTTCTCTCTGCAACATCATTTTGCTGTGGAGTATTTGGGATAGTCAACTGATGAACTATTCCCTTTTCATCACATAACCCATTAAACTGGGTTGATAAGTATTCACGACCACGATCAGTTCGAAGAGCTTTTATCTTCTTGTCTAATTGATTTTTCACTAAGCTCATATAACGTTTGAAACAACTTATTGCTTCTGATTTGTGGGATATTAAATAGACATAACTGAAACGAGTAAAGTCATCATTAAATGTGATGAAATAACTTGTTTCATGCCTAGCCCTAACATTCGTATGCCCGCAGATGTCCGAATGGACTAATTGCAAAAGATATTAAGCTCTAGTCGCCTGACCAAAAGGTTTTCTTGCAGATTTTCACAAGTGAACAATTCCACATGTTCAATGTTGGAAAGCAAACCTTGTTTTGCTAACCTTTGCATTATTTGTTGGCCAATATGACCAAGTCTAGCATGTCATATGATTACATCACTATCATATTTATGTGAAGAAATAAACATAGAAAACTAACATTATTATTAAATGAATCATAATCCAAATCCATATTAATTAAACCCCCGGTCACATGACCAAAACCAAATAAAGTTGAACCAAAAGTCAACTTGGCAGAATTGCCATGACAAAACAAGTCAAATCCTAGTTTAAGCAAAACTTAAACTGAAATAACATTCTGCAGCGATTTGTTGGTGCAAAGAGAACATCATGTAGTATTAGGTTTCGACCACACGCAGTACTAACTTGCTTGTACCGATCCCTTCAACAACAACTTTAATGTTGTTGCCCACATATATTGACTTTGCTCCACGTGGAACTCGCCGAAATTCAACAAAGGTACTGCGTTCCCAGGCTATGTGGTCCGTTGCTCCTGAGTCTTTCTAGGAGGCTAAGAGCAATCTCTGGCATAGTGACCCTTTTTTTCACAATTTTAGCATTTCACTTTAGCAATTTTGACACATTTAGGACGTTTGTTCTTGCCTTTTTCAGTCTATTCTCTTTTAGCAGGCTGAGCTTGCTAAGTTTGATGTGGCTCTCTCCTCTTTCCCCAGTTCCTTTTATTTGAATCACTCTTGATTTTGGAGGTTGTTGCCATGTGCAACTCCACTATTGGCTTTGCATTCTCAAGTCGTTCCTCCTCTAACTCAGATGCCTCCGGACATCTTCCAGAGTTGTGATGCGCTCATTATGGGTCAAATGCATTTTCCATATGATCCCAAGAATTAGGTAAAGAGCGTATAACAGCTTGGATTTGTTGTTCGTGAGTCAACACAGGACTAGCATCTTTCAACTCCCCAATCATATTTGTCAGTTGCCTCAGATGTGTTTTCATTGAATGTTCTGGGCGTTTCTAATATGAATCAAATTTGTTCGTTAAGGATCGCGGCCTTACAGTGGAACAGGTACCAAACCTTTTCCTCAAGGCATTCCAAAGATCCATAATTTTTTTGTGATCCTTAAGATCCCTTAGGATGTCATCATCCAAAGTGTTCAACAACGTAATGCGAGCAATGGAGTTCTTTTTCTTCCAACTGTCGTAGGCTTCACGCTCACACCTATGCTGAGCAGTGTTGCCTTCCTCAGGCTCATTCATGACATTGTTAATGACTTTCAGAGCCTCTTGCTCCTCTAACACATGTTGGACTTCCAAGCTCCAAAATTTATAGTTATCGTCATTGAATTTCAACCCTTTATTGAGCTCAGCAACAATATTTTTCGAAGCAGTAGTCGTTATAAAACTAGCAGAGAAGTACTCTTATAGACCATTACTATTGTATCAATACTTATGCAAGGAAAAAGAGATAAAACGAAAAGAAATGGCTACTATAATTATCATCGTATTGTTGTCTTGACAATCATTTTTGCCACGCCCATGATGAGAGAATGGACAAGTGGTAACAATCATATACGTGTGCAGCTTACCAGTTTGCCACGATTTAATTTGCTGACATCTTTGTGTGCCATTCTTTGAACACACAATTTGTGCATCCTTCAACTCTATCCCTTCTTATGAAATCACTTTTCATGAGTGCCACAGCAGGTTCGTACCAAGAGTAAAGTTCAGCGTTGCAAATTCAATCGATATTTAATTATATCGAGTCACATAACTTTACAATAAATGTTATGTTATCACTAATATCGCATAAATATTATGTGCAAATAAGTTTCTCCAGCTGTACATGTGCAGCAATAATGATATGGTTCTAGATTTATGTAACTTACTTTTAATGTAAGGGGTCGGAACAGAGTGAATGTACACAGTGTTTATCTCATAGTCGCTTTACCGCGACAATTATTGGAGTAACTTTTTATGCAAGAAATTTAGAGTTTTTTCGTTTCATGAACTAAGAAGTTGGCGGAAGAAGAAAAGACTAGACATTTAGTCCAATTATTGGTATTCATTATGTGGATAACTAACACAATAATCAACTCAAAAACGCAAGAGGAAAGATTAATTAAAAGAAGTAGGAGTAATTAGTATATGATATAAATATATATCTAACAAGGTATTCGTCATGTTTTCTTCAAATCCAAAGAAGAAACTCCAGAAATAGCCATATTTTCAGCTACCCAGGCTAAAGATCTAAGTTGCCATCTCAAGATATTATCAGTCACCTCACATGTATCATCTTTACAACTATTTTCAGGAAAATCCACAACATAAGACTCAATAGCCACTGTACTCTTCCCAGTACTGCTCAATACTTTGCCGCCATCATCATCTTCTTCTTCTTCTTCTTCTTCATGCAAAGTGATAGTAGATTTGAAGTTCAAGAAACTGTGATCGGCATTAACAACACTGAACACACAAACATGCATTTCATCATCAAGAAAATCGAACCTTTCTATGCTTTTTTTACCAGGAAATCCAGAAACTAACGTGACTTCCCTTATACTCCCAACACCACCATCACCAGAAAGTAAAGTGCAGCTGCTGATGAAGTTCTTATAGCATTGTGGCTTGTCGAATTTTTTGACCAAAGACCATACCAAGGGAAGAGGTGCATCTATGGTTTGGACTAGCATTGAAGAACATTGTTTTGGTGAGAGTTCATGAGTGTGGTAAAGTTTGACCATTTTATCCACAGCTTTTGAGTTTTTTGGATTTGTCAATAACATTATGTGGAGCTTGGGTCTCTCGTTGCTTCGGCAAAGGGAAAGAGGGGCATTTCGCTCTTATATATAATGCATACAAATTTAATCCTTTAATTAGACCAAATATTAGAGTTTAAAATTTCTTTTCTTTTTCTATTTTCTCGTAGAAACGATTTTCCCGAGTTGCGACAAGGATTGATGTTATCATGATTGAAAAATTTAAGCTTCTTATTTTATAATCTTATTAAGAAGCAGAGAGTTCTAGAGTTTGAACTATTATTGGTTATATATATATTGGTAAGAGATAAGAGAAGTTTAATTTATTCCTACATAACGGCAGTAGTAAATATATTTGAAGCTCCATTATCAAAATTCTGGTACGCTCACGCAAGTGAGTTGTATGTAGCTTGTCTCTTTTAGAACTGAAAATGTCCAGAAAATTAGATGTCACGCTTTATGAGAGCGTCTTGGTCACAAACAGTGTCGTCTTCTTAATTTTTATATTTCCCTATTCTTTCTATCTATTGCATAAATCTCGCACTAAAAGCAAACTCGTCGTTGGAAGCTAGCTCCTGTTTGTTTGGAACTTGGAACTTGAAGTACTTGGAGATTTTCCCACTGCACCTTTTCCCATTTGTCATTTTCTCCTCTTAAAAATGCATTCTTATAGTTATCTCATTCCTTCACTAAAGATAACTAATAGTACTTGGTATATTTTGTAATAAAGCTGGGATATTACGTGTACTCTCCAGCACCATTCAACTAAGTCATGATCTCCAACTTCTCGAAATTTTATTTATTTCAGAAAGCGATTGTCATTTGTCTACTTTAATTGAGCTATATCTCTAAAATTAGGTCTAATTGGCACTTTATAATGTTATATGATGAAGTCCAAATTAAACAAATGAGATTATGATGTCAATATCATATGCGTTTTGCTTTCCGGAGAAGAAGTTTGATAAGTTGCTCAAATTTAACCAAAAAGTTAGGATGCAAAATTTTTTTTAACCCTAATTATCTTTCATTCACATATTTTGAAACTCTAAATCATCGAGTTAGATGAAAGGAAAAACAACGATCCTAGTCCTTTAATTAGTTGAAGTAATTTCCCGGTTTCCTATTCCTTTAATTAGTTAAAGTAATATTCCAGTTTTGGTTCATGTATTATTCAACTAAATAAATTCAACTTTTCATTATAAACATATGGAGTATATATGAATTAGGTCAAGTACTAATTTAAGTTACTTACTTAACGAAACCATTATTAAGAGATTGAAAGTAAAAAGTACTCCCTCCGATTCGTATTAATTTAGATGGTATAGTTTGACTTGATATAAAATTTAAGAGAAAAAAAAGATTTTTGAAGTATGTGAGCCTAAAAGCTTAAGGGCAAAAGCTTTGTGAAACCATACTATTTGTGTGTCTACAAAAACTTCTCACAAGGATAAACTTGATAAATAAAAAATTTAAAGTTAATTATTTCTACATATAAAAACGTGTTATTATTTTTTAAACTGACTAATAAAGAAATATGTCATTTAAGTTAAACGCAAAAAAAATTAAATTAAACTAAAGAAGCATAATCATACACGGCCGCTCGTCGCATTATATTGCCTATCTTTTTGGCAACACCTAAGAAAAAGAAAACATATATGTGTGGGTAGAGCCGGTAGGCCTAGGCAAGGTATGTCATCTGGAACGTTATGCCTCCGTTTTTTGAGACACTAGTTTATAGGGCACTCAAGTTGCCCTGTATACTTCCGCTTAATAAGTATAATAATATAATGATTACGTGTCTTAATAATTTAATTACGACACTGAAGTCTGATATTTTTCTATGCATATGCGATATTTTTCTATTTTCAATTTGTACATGAGTGTATTTTTATTTTAGCACTCATATATGACATATATAGCTAGAATATTTATATATGTTTCCTTATTTAATTATATAAGTAGGCCTACATAAGTATTTATTATTTTTTTGTGATTATTCCACCGTCCATTAGTTTATATGTGTAAGGTAATTTGCATAAAAGTTGAGATTTTTAGGATAGTGTTCAATTTTATGTGTTTATTCTATGTTTGTGTTTAATTGAATGAAATCTGAATAGATTTTAAAGTTTTAAATATTAGGATTTTGTACATAGTGTAAATAAAGAAGGATTTGGTAAATAAAATTTAGTAGATTTTCAATACCTAAAAATTAGAAAAAATAATTAAATGAACATTATATCTAGTGTTAACTTTATTTTTAAAGAGTAAAAAAGGCGAACGATATTTCACTAAGGACTTTCGTGATAAATAAATAACTATAAATATTATATAATCACAAGTCAAGCCGAACACTAATAAAATTTTATTTTCTCCAGAATTATTTTGTGAAATAGACTAACCTTTCGAAGGTGTGCGTTCGAAAATCTTCTACAGAAAAGATGAAAATGTATTATTTTTTCTTTCCTTGTGAATCCTTGTGATGACCCAAAAGGTCATCTTATATTTTAGAACTCGAATCTGCGCTCTTAAGCCTTAAAATCTTATTTTTATCCTCCTCGATTTGCGTGCGCAGTCCGGACAGGTATCCGAAAAGCTTTTATGTTGAAAACTAATAAAAATAAGAATTCTTGCCTTAAAAATTGATTTTAGTTGACTTCGATCAACATTTTTGGTAAACGGGCCCGGATCCATGCGTTGACGGCCCCGGTAGGTCCGTATCGAATTATAGGACCTGGGCGTATGCCCGAAATCGAATTCGGAGGTCCCTAGCTTGAGTTATGAATTTTTGATGAAAATTAAAAGTTTGAAAATTATTTATTTTTAAGAGTTGATTGATAGTTGGCATTGTTAGTATCGGATCCGTATTTTAGTTCCGGAGTCCGGTACAGGTTCATTATGATATTTAAGATATGTCTGTGAAATTTGGTGAGAAACGGAGTTGATTTGACGTGATTCGGACGTCCAGTTGAGAAAATAGAAACTTTAAAGTGTTCTTGAGAATTTCATTTGATTTGGTACTAAATTCGTAATTCTAGGTGTTATTTTGGCGATTTGATCACGCGAGCAAGTTCGTATGATGTTTTTAGACTTGTGTGCATATTTGGTTTGGAGCCCCGAGGGCTCGGGTGAGTTTCGGATAGGCTACGGAGTGAGATTTGGCTTGGAAAACACTGCTGAGCATCTGATATTGTTACAGGCCTCTGATCTCGCATTTGCGAGATCAGGCATCGCAATTTGCGACCTCTGAGAGGTTCGCATTTACGAGCTTCTCATCGCAAATGCGAAGAGGCTGGGCCAATAGTTTTCGTATTTGCGAGTTTTCTTTCGCATTTGCGAAGGGAGTCGAGGAAGGGCAGTGATCGCAAATACGATCATTTAGTCGCATTTGCAAATATCAAGGTCGCATTTGCGAACTTATCTTCGCATTTGCGAAGGCAGCAGAAGTGTGAAGGGCTTTGCATTTGCGATGACTCATTCGTATTTGCGAAGCCCAGGTCGCAAATGCGACATCTGCAGCTGATCAAAATGACTTTTGGACGGGAGTTTTCATTCATCTCCCAAAATTTCAAGACCTAAAACGCAAGAGGCGATTTTTTCAAAGACCATTTCTTCCCCAAATCATAAGTAAGTGATTCTAAACTGGTTTCTTTCAATCTTTCACTACATTTTATAAGATTTCAACCTAAAATCTAAGGTTTTCATGGTAGAATTAGGGGTTTTGGGTAGAAACTAGAGATTTCGAAAATTTGGGAATTTAGACCTCAATTTGAGGTCGGATTTCAAAACTAATTATATATTCGGGCTCGAGAGTGAATGGTAAAGGAATTTTGGTCCGAACCCTGGGTTTTGATCAAGCGGGCCCGGGGTCGATTTTTCAACCATTTGGAGGAAAATTTGGGAAATTTAATTTATGAAATATAATTGATTCCTTTAGCAATATTTGATGTCATTGAGTCATTGTTGAATAGATACGAGTGGTTTGGAAGTGAATTCCAAAGGAAAAGCTGTGATTGAGAATTTAGTGGTCTTCGGAGCAAGGTAAGTGTTGTGTCTAACTTTGGCTTGAGGGAATAGGTATTGTGTGAGCATTTGCTACGTGTTTTGTTGTTGAATACGATGTATAGTTGAGGTGACGAGCATCTATACGTTGTGGCCGAGTCATAACATGCGAGTGAAATTCCATTCTTGCAAATTTGTAGTCTTAAATCTTGCTATCCATGCTTATTGTTGTTGTTGAAATGTTGGGAGACTTGTATCCGGTTCCACCAAGGTCGATAAAATTATGAATATTGATTCGAGGTTGAGATGTTAACTTGTGAAAGTAATCATTGATGAAATATTGATTTCTTTATGAAGCTTCTCTCTATCCGTTGTTAACGATTCTGTGAATTGTGAGTAAGAGTGTAAAGCACGAAGGGTGATGCCGTACATAATTTATTTATATTGTGAGGAAGAGTGTAAAGCACGAAGGGTGATGCCGTACATAATTTATTTATATTGTGAGGAAGAGTGTAAAGCACGAAGGGTGATGCCGTGCATGATTTATTTATATTGTGAGGAAGTATTTATATTGTGAGGAAGAGTGTAAAGCACGAAGGGTGATGTCGTGTATGATTTATTTATATGGTGAGGAAGAGAGTTAAAGCATGAAGGGTGATGCCGTGCAGTCCTATCTATTATTTGGTGAGGTTGAGAGTAAAAGCACGAAGGGTGATGCCGTGCAGTTTTTCTTGCTGTCTTAATTGCTCAATTAGTTTAAGGATTTCCGGTTTAATTCTGTCTTTACATTATTCTCACGCTTTCTGTTGTATTCCCCCAATGTATGTTCCCTTCCCATTATTTCTGCGTTATTTCTTTATTTACTGTTGTTGCCACTAGCATGATTATACTGTTCAGGTTATATATGGGTGTCTTGTCCTAGCCTCGTCACTACTTCGCCGAGGTTAGGCTCGACACTTACCAGTACATGGGGTCGGTTGTACTGA